CTTACGTTATTTCCATATCTAATATAATACCTTAAAATACGTTTTTCGCATATCAATCCAAGATAAATATAATATCAATATTAAATTTATTAATAAATTTTTTAAAAATTAACATTTATAAATTAAATTAATATTAAAAAAATTTATTTAAAAAATAAATCGCAATTATATACTAACTTTTTAACTTTTTTTCTTTTCTAATAAATTCCTTAAACTTTTCTACATTAAAATTTTTAATATCTTTGTATCCAATTAAAAAAAGTTATATAATTTTCTTTTACCTAACCTCTTTTAACCTTTCATTAAGTTTTAATTTCTTTACGTTCCTTTTTTAAATACTTAATTAACTAATATTTTTTTTCTTATATACTTAATAGCGGCATTTCTAATACTTTAACATCTTTTAACAAACATTATATTTATTATCTTTATTATTACAATAATATTTTTAATTAATATAATATTAATTAATATTATATTTATTATTATTACTATTTTTACTATTAATACTTACCATAAACTAACATACCCTTTTAAAATTCTTAAACGTTTTAATAAATACTTAAAACTTACTAATTAATTTTTTAAAATAATATAATAAAATAAATAATATATACTACAGTTAAAATATATTATAACATACTTAATATACAACTGCGATAAATTATTATTCTTCTTTAAAATTAAGTTTAAAAATATGTTGATATAATAATAATTTATCGAATATAATTTATAATATCTTTATATTAAATTTACCTTTATTCTTCTTTTTAACCTTTATATTATAAAAAATAATAGTTATTTAATTTTAATAATATTATATTTTATTTTACTCCGTATTAAAATATTATTTTATAACCATATATATATTTGTAAAACATTAATATTTAAATATATTATAAAAGAAGTAAATTACTATTCTTCCAATAAAAATAGTAAAAAATACAGCATAAAATTATGTTTATCGAATTTTTATTATATAATATATGTTTAAGAAAAATTAAAATTTATTTTTAAAAATATTATATATTTCTTTTATATAATTATTTTTATTATTTTAAACCTTTTTAAAATAATTTATAATAGTTAAAAAATATATTTTATTAAAGATTTATACCAGAAAAATATTATATTAAATTTAAACTTATTAATTATTAATAGGTATAAGGGTTTAAACGAAAAGGTTAAATGTTTATAAAGGCGGTGAAGTTATTTAAGAGGAGAAACTGTAGCCTTTAATAAGCTAATTTTTTTTATTTAATCTAACGTTTAATAAAACTGTTGGCGTTATATATAAATTATCCAGTGGCAGTTTAGGAGGTTTAAACGCATTTTCTGCAATTGGAAGAAAAAGCTACGCCTAGTTAATTTTATATTTAAGGTTATACCTTGGATTATATTTTTATTATCTTATAAGGGGTACGGGTAACCCTTATTAGGTTAATAGAAGAAGGGGAAGAGAAATTAAATAATGTTTAAATATTGCTTTAGTTACTTTATTAAAATTATATAAATTATTATAAATAATTTAGCATAATTTGCGGTAGTAGATTTGGGTTAGATATGTAAAAAGGGGGGGAAAGGGATATATATTAAGAACAATAATTGGTTGGGGGGTTAGGGAATAGGTTTCGATTATTAAGTTAATAGTAAAATGTTGGAAATTAACGAAGGTTGGTTAAAAGTAGGGGGTAATATTTATTTTAATTATAAAATAAATAATATATATTATAAGTTAGAAAGAAGTGGGGTTTAAAGCGTGGTGTTTTGTATTAAGGCTTACTTTATAAGTGTAATTATATATATTAACGTTTATGGGTTAAAAATTGTTTAATATTATTGTATTAACGTTTGTAACTGTATGAACGCGCGTATAGTGGGGTATACCAATCCTTTTTCAGTTTTATAAATTGAAATTTTTTATATTAACGCGTTAAGCCATTTTATTTTTGTTATTTTTAACTCGATAATATTTTATATAAATAGATTACGTAATAATATAAAGTTAATAAATACCTTTATATGATTAACGTTATATTTTTTTATATAAATATTTTTTTATATTAATATGTTTTGTAACGCCGATTGTAATTATTTCGGCAATACTTTAAAATTATTTATTATAAATTTTTTAAATCGTTTTTAATATTTAGTTATTGTTTTTTCGGTTAAACGTGTATATAATGTTTTATTATCGATAGTTTTAAAGTTTATTAATGTAAGAAGTGCTTATATTATTTTTTATTTAGGCGTAATTATTTAAGGATTGATTTTTTCCTATTATATTATTATATGGTTGAATATTATATTAAATATGAATATTCGATTAGGGAGATAGTTTAAAAATTTATATAACTTGTTTATATTTTCTTGTTTAATAGGATTGTATATGACGCGAGTTTATGTTTGTATTAAGTTTTTTGCTTATATTTTTTGGAATATAATGGAAGGAATTAATAATATGGGTAATAATAATTTTATAAATAAAAAGTTTAAGTCGCAATAATTTACTAGAGATACGAACAGATTATATAAAGGAATAAAATTATAACTTATTATAAACTACAGAAATAATATAAAAAAAAATGTTAATATTATTTATATTATTGTAATAAAAATCTTTAAATTAAAGCAATAATAATTCTTCTAACCTTATTAATTTATATTACTACTATTTAATAATATTAATTAATGTTGGTAGGTATATACGTAAATAAAAATAATAATAATAACGATAAAATAATAATAAATAAATTAATAGTATTAAAACTAGTATATTGAAATATCTAAAAAAAAAAATTTATTTAAAGCTAATTAAATATAACGTATTTTTATATTCCAATAATAGTAAATATCTAACCCCTTTTACCTAATAAAATTAGGTACTTTATTTCTTCTTTTCTTATCGGCGATAAAGGTACTTTATTATCAGTAAAATGCCTTAATGTCACATAACCATTAATTTTGAATTATAATATTTAATTGTGGCGTTTACATTATTTACTTGTTTTTAAAAACCTTATAAATATAAACGTAAATATAATTTATACCTATTATATTATTCTTTTTAAAATAATTATTAAATCTTAAAAACCATTCGTTTATTATAACTTTTTCCATAATCACATTTTTATTTAATATTATTTTATTTATAAAACCCTTCTTTTTATTAAACCGTTTAATAATTTAAAAAATTATATTAAATTATATATTAAATTTAACGCTTAAACATAAATTAATATTAAATTAGTTTATAAATTTAACAACTTTAAAATTATTTTATAACCTTTAAATTATTTATAATTATAATTTAAATCTACCATTAAATAAATATTTAATCTATTATAAAATTTATTAAAAAGAAATTAATTTTTTTATATAATCTTATCCTTACAACTTATATTTTATTAAATTTGCATTTAAAAAAATATATTAATATATGGTTTTTCTTTATTAATTTAACTAAACAATCCTTATAATCTATTAATTAAAACTTATAATAATTAACATAACGTAATAATTTTATACATAATAAAACATATTTAATTATTAATTAATCGCTATAATTATTACATTTAATTACTTTTAAATAATATTTATTTAAATACCAACCTTAACATTTTAAATCGTATTTAACAACTTAAACTTTCTTTTCAATTAAGCAAAATAAAATATTACTACCAAAAAATTTAAAAGATTTAATTTTAATCAAAAAAGAAACTATTTAAATTCCTTTTAAAAATTTAATACCCCGTTTAAAAAAACATATATTAATTAAAGTAACGCTTATTTAAACCTTCACCTCTTTTTTAATAACTTTATTTATATTAATAATTTCTCCGTCAAAAATATATAACATAAATAAACATTTAAAAATAATATAATTAAACCACTTAATTAAAAACTTAATATATTTCACATTAATAACCCGTTTAATAATATCCTTATTATTAAAAAATTTTTATTTAATCTTTTTATTTTTAAACCTAATAATAAAACTTATAATAATTTTATAAATATTTAAAATATTTATTAAAAAAATTTTTAATTCTTTACAAATAACACTTTTAAAAACATAATTAATTTATACTTTAATTTAATTTAACCTATTTATAAATAAATAAGTTAAAAAGTAAATATCCTCTTTTTATATATTTAAAATTAAATTTTTTAAATTTAAAATTATATTTAAAACAATTAATAACATTATTGTATTATTACCTTTTAAGGTTATAATATATATATTAATTAATTTACTTAATTTTAAAACAAAATTTTTAATTCCCAAAAATTTAAAAGCGTTACTTAATAATACACCCAACTAAAAACTTATATTTTAAATATTCGCGTAAAAAATTATAAAATTAAAAAAAAACCCTTTAACAAATATTATTAAATATAAATAAATTAAAAAATATTATATAATTTTTAATACCATAAAATACTTATCTCTTATACATAAAAATACCATATTATTTAAAAATTTAACCATTAATATTAATATTTTACATTAATCATTTATTTTACAATTAATTTTAATTAAAACAATAAATAAAACGTTAATTATTATACCGCCACTATTATTATATTAAATAAGGATTAAAACGGTAAATTCTTCGTTATATTAATTTTAAACCATCTTTTAAATAATTAAAAACCTTTTTTAATTTCTTAAATTTAAAAATAATATTTTTATTTAAAAATTTATTAAACGTTTTCTTTTAAAAGGTTATATAAATATATAATAAATTTCTTCCAATATTAAAAAAACATTATCGATAAAAACTTAAATAATTAAATTTCTTTTATAAAATATTATAAAAAGTTAAATATTAACCATTACAGCTTATACCAATCCAATTTAATATTTAGGTTTAATAAATAGGGCTATTAATAGGTTATAAGTTAAATTACCCTAGCGCATTAATAATAGATGTTAAGAAGTGATAAATTAAAGGAAAGATAATTAGGGAAAGAGTTACCAAAATGTAGGAGAATATGCCGGAAGCCGTCTATCTTACCATACTAAACTATAACACTACCTCCCATTAAATCGAGAAACTCCATTGAGAGACCGGAAGGAGCCCTCAGGTTTAGGTCAGTAACGTAGATCTATGCCTTGTCCAAAACTCATCTTCTCCATCAAACAAAACTTCATCAAAACGAAAGAAAAAAAAGAGTCTACCTTTTTTGCTGCTTTCTTGGGTCATAATGCCGAACGCTTCGCCAAAACTTATTAACTATGTTTTCCTTTTTGTCTTCTTGCTTATTGTTTCCACGCAGCATATTCACGCTCAATCTGGTACGAATATAGCACCAAGATAGCTGACAGCTTCCAGCCCTTTATGGAATTCACTTTAATAGTTTTATAGGTAAAAATGATCCCCATCGTTGCCTAACTCTCCTGAATAATGGAACATGGTCGTCTTCAGTTCCTGGCGGCTCTCGACGATGGGAACCAAAAGATTGTCGTATGGTTGAGCATACTGCAGACTCTCTTCACGAATGCCTCAATGACCGAAAGGTTGTCTTCATCGGCGATTCTACAATCCGGCAGCTTTTCTGGGCCGCTACTAAACAAGTTGCTCGCCGCGAGTCCGAAACTAGGATAAAACGCCTGCTTCAATCGAACGGCAAGCATCACGATATCTCGTTTCGGGCTGATAATGTCCAACTGGAATTTGTCTGGGATCCCTGGCTAAACTCTACCGTCTTGCACGGTGTGCTTAAGAACTTCCACGCTCTACCTACACCCCTATATGTAGAAGGCATTGCGGGGATGGACGAACTGTCCCCTGTGCTCGTTATCTTGGGTGCCCCCGGACTCTGGGCTGCTCGATACGGCGGGGATGACTATATGAACCTGTTTAAGCGAGCCGTCACCGGCGTCGTGCCGTACCTATCACCTAGCCTTGATAACAACATATCACAGGCAATGAAAACGACTCAAGGCTCGGGCGATATCCCAAACCGGATTTTTCTAGCGCCAGTAGGGATCCCAAATTACAGCAACTTGGCTCCGAATCGGTCCAAGAGCATAACGCCGGAACGGATTAAGGCCATGAATAACTACCTCTCAGAAGTCTTCTCGAACAATCTGACGTATGTTCCTTGGGTATACAACCAAATTCCCACTTCTTCTAAATGGGATTTCGATATAGACGGCTTGCATGTGTCAGACGATATGGCAGCACTGAAACTCAACATTGTTTTCAACGCACTTTGCAATTCAGCAGCAAGCGCCCGCTCACGCTCTTTCAAGGGCACATGCTGCGTCGTTCCTCTACAGGGCTATAGTCCTGTGATAGTTGGCCTTTTATTGGGAGTTTCAGCAGGGTTCGGGTCTGCTGGTGCGCGCCATAACCTGGAGGTTGGAGGTAATCCAGAAATCGTTAAATCTGTCGAAACCCTTAGAAACATACTCGTTACCTTCATGTGGTGTTGGTACGCCGACGGGACTTCCTACTTAATAAAAGCTGAACGTCATTATGAACAAGAGGTTTTCGTCGCGGCTTGCCTTATATGGCTAGTGGTCAGCGTATTGTCATTAAGGAAAGCCACCCACCAGACAGATGGTTCTTCGTCGTCCAAACGCGATCTGCGATACTATCGTGGTCCGGGATACATATCGCGGAGTCAGTCTAATGAGATCAAAGGCTTAATGCAGGGGATTATCTTGCTCTATCACTATCACCATGCGTCCCAGGCTCTCTGGGTTTACAAGATCATCCGACTATTTATCTCCGGATACCTATACATATCCGGCTATGCTCACACGCTATACCTTCTCAAAACGAACGACTTTTCTTTGAATCGCGTCATAGAGATTCTATTCCGCTTGAACTTTCTAAGCGTCTTCCTGCCGTACATGATGAGAACAACATACACGTCGTATTATTTCGCCCCCGTTATCACGTTCTGGTATCTTGTTTTGTACGCGATGCTTCGTTTCTTCAAAAGCTACAATCGCGATCTGCGTTGGCTACTTTTGAAAATAGCGGTGACAGCTAGACTCACCAATTTGCTTATACTTACCCCTGGTATTCTTGAAGCTGTCACTAGATTCGTACACGCTATATTCTTCATATCTATAGATGTAGAAGAGATGCGTTTCAGGCTGCGTCTAGACCGCTACATTACGTTCATCGGGATTATTGTAGCGGCTCTTACCCATCGCGCCTCTATTCGCAGGGAGCCAACTTTCCTTCAACTTGGCTGGGTCGGAGCGGCCCTCACTCTAAGATTCACATACTGGCTTGCTATCGTCTGTGTAGGGAGCAGTCTAACATTCTTCTACGTCACCCAAACTTATCTACAAGAGAAGCAGACATACAATCAAATTCACCCATTCATATCCTGGATCCCGATATTATGTTTTATAGTGCTCAGAAACTCTCATCGCATATTAAGAGATAGGTATCTTTTATTACCCAACCTCCTCGGCCGCATCTCGCTAGAGACATACGTGCTGCAGTACCACATTTGGCTTGGCGGGGATGCTACAGCAAATCTTTTTGTGGGATATTGGGAAGGCCGCTAGGGGCGGTTTGCAGAAACGGTGATACTCACTATTACGTTTATCGGACTTGCGGCAACTACAAGAAACAGTACCAGAATATGTGCTCGGTGGTTGAATGGACCGGGAGCTGTGGGACTGCTGTCAGCGCTATGGACTGCGAATATCGTATACAGCGGAGTACTAACATCGCGGGCATGAATGGTAATGGTTCGGATATGTGGTATTGGCGGTATTGGGTCTGATGAAGATATATATTAGAAGGATTGGTGAAGTGCTATTATAGGGACATGGAAATACTATAACTATGGATAAAGGGGTCTAGTATTATATATATTCGTGTTGCTCCCCTGTTAAATGTTCGTGCCTTGTCGTTCATTATCTGACGGTTATCTATCGGCTTTTTATTTATTTTACAAATCACGTTCTATGCTCGTCCGTCTTTGATGGGCCAACAGCATCTGCACCTGCACCTGCACCTTCCTCCCTTCACGACAACGACAAGAACAGCGCGCACCGTGACTCACGTACCCACTAACCGCTCTAGCCGGCGAGTACGTTAAAGGTCGTAATTGCCGACTGAACTATCACTAAGAAACAAGGCTCGGTGGTGTAGTGGTAACACACTCCGGTTTCCTGAGGCACCCATAGAGTGGATTGGGGGTTGGTGCTTAGAGGTTCCTTGGAAATAGAAATAGAGGCTAGAAATAGAGCCGAGGACGGAGTCTCTGGAGTGACGCAGGTTCGAATCCTGCCCGGGCTATTTTTTTTTCGTTTTTATTCTTTCAGTGTAGTTTTTTTTTAATTTTCTTTTTTGATATTTCTTTTTTTCCTTTTCAGGTTTGAAGTGATTCTGCTTCCTATACCAGGTACGTAAGTAGGTACTGTAGTTAACCCCTTATTCTTTTAGGTATTTACCTATCTAGCCTTGTATTGATTGCACTTGTGGTAAAAGGGGTCGAAGGGTTTCTTACATTCAAAATTACATCTACCTCTAATATTCTCCCCTTAGATAGAGGTATATAGACTACTACAGCGGATATGATTTTATTACTAGGATCACTAGCTAATACAGAGATATTTGTGCGCAACGACACAGTAACCCCCATTTCTCGTTCTTAATGCCATAGTATAAACGACTTTAAACCTTGGTAGAGGAAACTAAACCTATCTTCCCTTGCATTTGCGATCCCGTTTACCTTTCTGTGTGCGCTGTATGTCAATTGCAGCCGGTAATCATGTTGCGCCAACAACGTACCAAGTGCCTATATCCAGGTAGGCGAGAATTCCAATCCCGATATCCATTAACTCCCACTGGTAGTATTTCTAAACAACCTCGCCTATCAATCGTCCCCTCTATCTCACTCGCGTTCTGGAAACGTGCTCGACTAAGAGATGCTCCAAGCATAGCCGGTCGTCCTCGGACATCAAGGCCAAGCGGTGGCCGTAGCACTCGACGCGGACGGATTCGATGCCGCGCAGCTCCAACAGCTCGAATACGCCTAGAGCTTGCGTTACGTGGGCTGTGGCACGCTGGAAATACCGACGGAACAGGGCTTCTTGGCGCGTGAGGTATACGGTGGTGAAGGCCCCGATCACGACCGTCATGCGCGTTAGCGGGAGGCGGCGGAGCTCGGTGATGGCGCGGTCTGCTACGAGGCCGGTCCAGAGGAATTTGATGCGCTCTAGAGAGATAGATAAGAGGTCGTTGGTTGATATGTGGTAGAGGATAGTGCAGGTGCACTGGAAGTAGAGGGTCCGTAGTGCGAGGTTAGTATCTAGATAGTTTGCGGCTTGGGGAGAAAGGGGGAAGAGGGGAGAAAGTTGTGGCATACCATTTTGCTGTACATGTAAGTGAGGACTTCCCGGCTGAAGAACTTGGAAGTGTAGGCTAGATTGGTGTCGATAATATAACTTCGATCCCCGAGCCTATACGAAGCGAATAAGCCAGGGCAGCTACAGCCGAGATAATACGATCCTCGGCGGGGAGAGGTAGTGTGAGCAGAGCCGGGGTTTGGGTTACAGGGGACCGCAATAACGCGAGGCCATTCGAGGTCTAGGTAGTGCCAGTAGATGCGGTAGCGAACGTCTCGAGGGAGGTTTTGGAGTTTGTTTTCCAAGGGCCTTGGGGGTTCATCCGTTTCTTGGTATTAGCATTGGATTGAGCATAGTAACGGGAGAAGTCGTAAGTACACTTACATATCAGGAGTCGTGACAGGTCCATGATGACGATGCTGGTCAGATAATACTTTGACTTGTAAAGCTAAACGCGAGTTGCATCGCGATTAGCGATGATTAGACAAAGCTGGGTTATATATGGTCTGGCGTCTGGCTTTGCGGTTGAGGTCCTTGGCATAGACGATGTCGACTAAGTTCTTCCTGGTGATATTCTAGCTCTGTCAAGCCATGCATGAACTTCGAGGAAGCAACAGCTAATGCGGGAGATGCCGAGGCGCACTTGAAGCTTGAACTTATCAAGCACAAAGAAAGTAATTACGAATATAATAAATGCATGGCTCTTTCGTCGGGTAAAAATAGTGCATGCATGTCTGTAATAATAATAGTAGTATGACTTGAAGAATAGGGGGCAGGCAAGAGTAAAAGCGAAAGGAATGTTGATAAAAAAATAACTAAAAAGAAATTACAAGAAAGGGGCCGAAAAGAAGAACGAAAAAGAAATGCAAAAAAGCTCAGTCCCAGATTCGAATCCCCTCGGATAGGGGCAGAGGATTCGAACCCAAGACCTACGAAAAACCGGCTTCGTTCGGCATCTGCTGTCAAGTCACATTCTTTTTTTTGTTTTTGGGAAGAATGGTCCAGCAGAATACACCACAGTGGGGTTTTCTCTAACCTCAAGTCGCCCAGGCGAGGGGCGTCGGTTGAGAGTTAGTTTGCAGTTAGGATATATAACTTTTACTTGGTGGGTAGGTACTTTGGCAGATGTATCTCGTTGCCTGGGTTTCTGCCACCTGATACTTCAGGTGCAGCGGCGACAAGGTGCGTGATGGTCAGTGGGGATGGCGGCTAGTACTGCCGGAAGGGTAGGTACCTAATGTACTATGTACGCGGTACCAACTATATACTTACCTACATGTAGGTACATAAGTTAGTAGCTCTGTCGATAACAATATACCTATTCATAAAGGTAATTCGCGCTTTACAGACAGCCTAGATCTTGAGAATTGTTAACTTTAATATCTACCTCCTAGGTATATAAACACTCGGCCATGACCGCTATGCTGAGTGCTATTCGTAATTCATAAACCGCTTCCAGTCATTACCCGCCCAAATACCTCCAATATACCCCCCCTGCCACACCCTGTTTTGCCTCATTACTCGCATCATCAATCCAAACTCCTCATAATATCCCCAACCTATCTTATCCATTCGTATCTCATCTCGCAATGCATTCCCCTCCAAGTACACCCGCGGACGCCGAACCGAGCCCGGCAAATGCAACCATGCCCCAAGCCACGGCCGCAGAGTCCCAGTCTGACTCGGTAGCCGGCAAGAGGTCTGACTCCACAGAAGATCTAGGCGAGAACATGATAGGTCGATATGCCTTTTCGTCTTCGTGTTTCTTAGACACCCTCGCCCGTCCTCGTCTTCGCCCAGGAGTCACAGTTCCATCCTCACTAGGTGTGCACGAGCTTGCAACACTTCCTATTCTGGATATACTTCCTACTCTTGAAGCGTCTCTTACTCTTGACGTATTCCTTACTCTCGATTCATTTCTCACCCTCGACAAATTTCTTATCCTCGATGAGCTTCTTACGTTAGATTCGCTCCTTAGTCTTGACGCATTTCTTAACCTTGACGAACTCCTTAGTCTCGATAGGCCCCGCCTGCTTTGGCTTCTAAGGGTCATCGAATGTTCTGATGTGCGATATTCGGGATAGTCGTAACTCCCCCTGGTGGGTGTATAAGGACTATAGGGCGTACGAGGCATACGGAAGATCTTATCCTCGACGACGCGCCTAGCCCTGAGACGGAATTTGAAAGTCGGAATAGCTGATGCGATAATGTCTTGTACGCTTATAGCGCGTACGGCAGCCCACAGACCAAGACTAATCGTGCAGACCAGAACATCGCATCCGACAGCGTTTACGGCAGGGTGGTCGTAGAGAGAGCCTAAAACTTTGCCAATTGCTGTAGTACTTCGTTCCCAGTTGGTACGCTCTTCAATATTCCAGGGGAGGAAGACGCTATGACGATGATGATGGGAGTCAGGAATATTGTAGCAGAGTCCTTCAATGCTAGACTTTGCGTGTAATACAAAAGACACAACGGAAATGGTCCGAAATATTGTCTTGAGTGAGTTATAGGCGTCGTGAGGGTGTAAGTAGACGGTACCCCAGCTTACCGGCGCAATTGCCGGTAAGATAAGGGGCAAGAAAGTCGATGCTCGACCGAGATGGACCACATTCACAAACGAATGTGTGTCCGCAGCATAAGGAAGCAGAAATATTGAAAGATAATTCAAGGCCAACACTGTGAAGAGTATGCGAGGGCGCAAATGCCAATTCTTTGGTTTTGGAGCAATGACTTTGTCGCGAATCCAAATCAACGTCGAAAGGACGGGAACGATTGGTATCTCAAAATTCTCGCTTCCTGGAGGTAGTGGCGACGGAGTCAAGAGAAGGGCAACGTAGAATAGATTCTGCGCAAACGAAAGGCTGACAAGGTGGGCTAGGATCAGAAACGAAGCTGTCAGGGGGATATTTCGTCGTCGACCCTCGATCGATAATAACATGCTAAACGCTACTGTCGCGAGATCAATCTGTTGCCCCCACCAGAAGCGACGGGCTTTCTCGGCGACAATCTCTAGGGCATCGTAGAAGATGGGAGTGTCACTCAACCACTGGGTGATATAAAGGGAATTCGATCTCCTCAAGTCCCGAGGTGTAAGGACAAGTTTCTCGGCGAGGAGATAGCTATATGCACATTAGCCACTATGATAACGTTTATGATTAGAGTAATAAGTGAATACCGTTCTCGTTGGTGGACGCCATGCTCATGCGCCCACGTCTTATACGACAAGACAGCAGACGCCACAGAGTTGTAAGTCGCCAAAGAAAAAGCTACGGCAGCAAGCCCGAGAAAGATAGGAACTAGTCCCCTACGCTGCGCATAACGCGATCGTGTGTCTTGAGCTGGACCTAAGGACTTATACGATGCATAGAGCCCAACAACGATTGCATACGTCAAGTAAACTATGGCCGTAAGATAGGTACCAACTACCGCCAGCGGAGTGTACCTGAAATCGATATCATTAACCAGTCGGCTCACAAGTAAACAAAGCTTAACAATACATACCTCACCGGATTCTGGAACGGCACGGCAGACATAATGAAGCCAAATCTTCCCGGATGAATTCCCGGCGACGAAGAGCGAAGCTAGGTAATTACACGTAACCGTAACCGTAGCCGTAGCCGTAGCTGTAGCTGTAACCGAAGGACTTGTAAGAGAGCTTACAAGGGTTGAAGTGCATCTCTATAGGTCGTCGCTTCGTGGCTGGGAGCTAAACAAGCTCGGGGGGGGAACAACCGCGCAGGAATTAATTGAGTTAATATGACGCCATGTTTTTATTGCTATTGGATGGGAAATCGAGAGGTTTCAGCAAGAAACAATCCTGCGCAGGAAGTCGAAAAGCAACATTACATACCCCGCGTAAGTATTTTGTTCGTATAGCTGAATAATACAACGTATATGAATAACCGTATCAATGGAATGAGCAAGACTGAAAAAAGAAAAAAAAAAAAAAAAAAAAAGGAATAATTTTTATGAGATGCTATATTCAGGTGTAGTTTCGCTTCACCATTAATATCAACCGTAGCGAGGATGGGTCAGTTTATGAAGGTTTTATAACTAATCTTTATGCACTGCTTTGCTGTATGAAAAATTTGAAAAATTTGTGAAGTGTATATGCCTAATGACGACGGCTGTTGCTGTCTTCGTTGGGTGCTGATGTGTCACTTTCAATAATAGTTTAGCTTGATATACTCTTGACACCAGCTCATCTCTTAGGTACTCATCTTTTAGGTATGTATAACTCATCACATACCTAAGGTATAGGTAGGTATACCATTCCACGTCCTCCAATGCATGTTTGCTAACTATGATAAAACCTAATGATAATGCCTAATTCCGCAAACAAATATCTTCAAATACTTTAACTAGTAGTTATTGATATTTTTAAGGACTTATAATTGTATTACCTTGACGTGTAACTATATGTACCTATGCATTGCATAAGTTTGAAGTCTCCGTCCTGCAGGTACAGCGTATCTATATGTAGGTACTTATCCAGCCAATGATACCTCGTAGGCGCGCGCGCTTAGTTCATTCCGACTATACTTAGCCTCCTAACCCATACAGGATTAGCTCAAATGTCATATCGCCATATGTATGTACTTACGTACCTATTCCGTACATGTAATTTCGACATTGCAGACAATCATTCCAAACCAAATCACAAGACGCATCATTGGCCAGCCCCTCTGAAACATTACCTCAAAGCCCTCCTGCGGGCTAACGTTTGCTTTCCCACTTAATCCAACCTACCTAACCCATTCCGACTCAAATACCTAACCACCCACCCACCCACCCACCATGTACCATCTCGCCAAGTCGCTGTACCTGCTCGCGCGGCGGCGGGAGGAATACTCGGTGATACTCCTGGGGCTGGACAACGCGGGCAAGACGACGTTCCACGAGCAGGCCAAATCGCTCTTCCTACCCGAGCACCCAGACCCCAAGCTCAAGACCGTGCCGACCGTAGGCCAGAACGTGTCCACCCTCACCCTGCCCGACATGTACCTCAAGATCTGGGACGTGGGCGGCCAGATGACCCTCCGCAAGCTGTGGCAGAGCTACTACGCCAGCTGCCACGCCATCGTCTTCATCATCGACAGCACCGACATCGGCGACGGGTCTCTCGAGCACGACGGCTCTGGCCGTCTTGACGAGTGTCGCCTCGTGCTCGAGGACGTGCTGCAGAATTCCGAGACGGAGGGCGTGCCGCTTTTGATACTGGCGAATAAGCAGGATCGCGAGGATTGCGTCGAGGTCGTGCGCATAAAGGAGGGCCTGGTGAAGAAGGTGTTCGAGGGCGAGAAGGCGTCGAGTATACGCGATTCCCGGGTGCTGCCGGTGAGCGCCCTGACAGGCACGGGCGTGAGGGAAGCAATCGATTGGGTTAGGTCGAGGGTTAAATGGAATAAAGAGTCGAGACCGCCAGTGATGCGGTGAGGGAAGGGAAAGGCTCTACGTAACGTTGTGCTATTTGGGTAAAGTGGCCTTGGGTTGGTTTGCATTCAGCGTCATGGAACAGGCGTTCTAGGATGGGAGTTATCATTGAGTTCATCATGGGTATCTTTATTTGGGTCGTCTATGGGAGTAGCCCCCCGTCTGCTATCTCTCGTTCTCCGCGGACAATTCTGCCAGGAGTCCGCCTTTGTTCCTCCGCTTCGAGTCCTCGGCTAACTCCTGATCTAATAACGTCGAGAACTCCTTGACTTTGCTGAGGGCGACGCCTGTGCACTGGAGCAGCGTGGCCGCCTCTACGGGTGTGCCACCCAACTTTGCGATTTGGCATATTTCCCCGTATCTGTTGAGACTGATCGTGCAGCTAGACACCCTCAATTGTTCCTCCAAGAGATTTACGTCCAACAATGTGATCTCTCCTTCATAAAAGCTAAATGTAACGCAAAACGGCGAATGCAGCCAGCTCAGCGGCACAGGTTCTCGTTCGGCGGGAGTATATACAGTTAAATTCCCTCCCTCCATACTTGTATCTGGTTTCCTGAAGTGGCGCAACGCTGCTACAACCGCGAAACATGAGGCGTCGATCAGATTGCCATCGTGTGAGAGCACGTGTAGGTCAACTCTTATGGACCAACACTTTTGCCCGGCGACGAGGCACAACGACTCTGTGTCGAGAGCGTTCGATCGGCGGACGGTCTTTTCCAGTAGTCTCGATAATAGAACTTCTGTTTCTGTCGGTCGATTAACTTCGAAAGCGGGCGATGCCATGGGGCTAAGTTCGGTCGTGATAGTGAAGATGCCGTCAAACGGTCGGTCCGTGTAAGGTGTTGTGACTTCGGCCGAGACCTTGACAAGTATCCTAGTTACGTTAGTGTTATAGAATATTTAATATTTAGGTATATATAATCTTAGGCACCTTGTCTTTCCAAGAGTTACATCTGCAACTCCGTATTGGTCACCAAACTTGATCTCGAGCTTTCGGTATTGGTCGAATGTGCGGCCGTCGATGCGCAGGCCCTCTTGTAGCGCCTGCACTACGAAAGCGCGCTCATTGAGTGAAGGTTCAGCCTCTCGAGGCATGGTGAAAGGAACGATTATAAGTGAAAAGTGTAATTGTTCTTGTTTCACCTCATTATTCGTGCCGATTCAAATACCCAATGTAGTAGCAGCAGCTTCAGCGAGAGTGGGGTGTTTGGTTCTGTGCATATTCATCACTGAGAGCTTCAAAATTCCTATGGAAATTCTGCCGGGCGGTGATCGTTATGTACAAAATATGTACTTAGCCCATGCAAGATCGGGTCTTGGCACAGTTAAATGCCGACTCTGCAGCTAATCCTTTTATTAGTGGGGCTGCGCATTGAAACTGGAGCCTCAACCTTCGAAATAGTCACCTGTAATAAACAACACTTAGGACTTCATCATCATCTACAACTTCTCATTAATAGTATAATTGAAGATGACTACAGCACACAGACCTACCTTCGACCCGGTATGTTTAGCTTTCTCTTAGCTAGCTATTATTAAGTAATTGCTAATTATATATATATATATATATTAGGCACGTGGAAAGGAGGCTCTTCGAGGGCCGGCCTACCACCAACGGCTCCTACCTGCTCATACCCAGCTCAAGTTCAGAAAACCCGGGCAAGGAGGAGATGCCGACGAGACCCACGACCTACGAGCCGAGCTTCTCGCTGCTGAAGCTGCCCACTTCGCAAAGCAGAACGGCGGCGCGCTTCCCGATGCCACCGGAGAGACCAACGAGACCGCACCCGCAACTAGCAATGCTTCGAAGCGACCGTTAGCATTGAATTCGGGGTCTAATGGGGATGGTGAGGGTGAGGAAGACCCAGAGGCGAAACGGCGGCGCATATTAGAAGAGTCTCGAGATATAGACGCGGATTCGGATTCAGAACAAGACGAAGATGATAGCGAAGAGGACAGCGACGATGATGAGGATGAAGAAGCAGAGCTACAGCGTGAGCTCGAGAAGATCAGACGCGAGCGGGCTGAGAAACGTGAGAAAGAGGAACGCGAGAAAGCTGCGGCTGAAGAAGCCGAGCGAGAGCGAGATATTGCGCTGGGCAACCCGTTGCTAAATCCCAAGAACTTCAACATGAAGCGGAGGTATGCTAACCCTCCATGAAGACATATTCTAGCATTATACTGATTGACCTATGACAGGTGGGACGATGATGTCGTCTTTAAAAACCAAGCAAGAGGAACGGAGGACAAAGGCAAGAGAAAGGAGTTCATCAACGTACGTCTGTCTCAAAACTTATATCATCCCGTTGCAGATAACTGACATTATGTATAGGATCTCCTGCGATCCGATTTCCACAAGCGGTTTATGAACAAATACGTGAGATGAGATGTATATTACGCGACGATACCAGCCTACGAACACATGCCAAGGCGAAGGAAATTACTACTATTAATACAGATTCATTATGATGGAGAGCTTTCGTTTTCTTTTCTATCAGAAAAAAATAAAAATTTGGAAGGATGGGAAACGTAAGGGAAAGAAGAAGTGTGCATCCCGGCTTTCTGCAGATTGTCACAGTTTCAGACTCGTACTTGCGTAGCGCATATAGTACTACATAGTTCGGTATCCGTGATCTGTGATGGCACCCGAGAGCGTGCTCGTTATAGTACATTAAGATATGAGGTCCCAGGAACGAATTCTAAAGCCCAGTTGGAGATCGAGCTGTTTCTGAACCATATAGCCTTTTCGTATAGTAGAGTTTCGGCCAGTTGCTCCCAGCTGATAAGGGTCGGAATAGGCACAAGTCATGTCCCAGCACTCGTTTTCATGCCTCACTCTTTCTATTTCTACAGCATCAACGGTCGAGATTTAACGAGGGAGTTCATGACCTCTCAGCTCATTATAACGAAGATAGAATCAGAGTAAGCCAGCACAGTTCACCGCCAGCATAATATATCTACCTATCTTAATGGGCAAAACTCAACCACATTTCTTTTGTTTAAGCGATACTGATTTGTTGGACGAAGAGTACATGGAATTTTATAAAAATCCACCAAGAAATCTTACAATAACGTAGCAATTTACACGCCGGGGCTCATTACTCTATAGAACGATTCGCCAGTCATCTTTAACCCAATTACTACCCAATTTCACCTTGTCTTTTTAGGCTCGGAAACACCGTTTACCCCGCCCTGTCTACGGTGATAAGCACTTAGAGTGACATCTACCTTTTCCAAGGCTCCTATCGCCGTGGTTATAGTTCTAACGCTATCGTATAAGAGAACTGACAAGTAGGGTTAGCCATAACGTTTAATTTGACTTGTAAAAAAGCCTCCGGTTTGGAAACTGACCTGCCGGGATGATGGCCCACGGTAAGTTAAACCCAACGAAGTAAACCCAAAAGTATAGGGTTTCGGGACGGCTGTGGGAGTGGCCCGTGAAGTAAATCTCGGAGAGGCTTGTAGCGTAATATAAAGCCAAGCCGTACAGGTGTGCTATACACGCGACAATGCGAAGCGCATGCCGGGTAGGGCTCCCTCGAACAATAGCAACGGCGTTAGCGAAGCAGAGAGGTCCCAAGATAAACTGTCACTCATAATGAGCATTCATTGCCACACCATAGCGTTTGTACGCTGAAGCCGGGTCAGGCTAGCTTGAGTTGCTACTCACCACCGTGAGACTCTCAATACTCAGAACGAAGAAATCGGACGTCAGGTAACGCGAGTCCGACAGCGCGTACTCCTTCCATAGCTGGGCGAATACGTTTTGTGACGACGCAACGGTGGCACGATTGAAGACGAAGTATCCTTGAAAAGACAGGCTTAGTTAAATGATCCTTGAAATGTGAAGATCATATTGTGCACGCGCATTCTTTCTATCGTTTGCATATAAAGTAATAAACTCACCTTCGAAAAAGCAGTGCAAACAACCATCTATAAATTCCGGTCAAGTCAGTAAACAGGAGACCCGATTAAACACAAGAGCGTGAGTTCAGTAAGGGACTTACTCAAAATAAACCAGCAAAACCGAATCAAATTTGTCTTTGTCAATTTCGGGTTTATCCTTAATGCTATCGCGGAAGCCCCTAGGAGTGTAAATACTACCATGCCACTCAGTGATGCTAGCAGCACAGGGACAGATGCTTCATTAGACGCGTAGCCCGGGATAGTCACGCCTAAGGGATAGTACGGATGCAAAGGCTCGAAGTTTACCTCGACCTCAGGCGCGATAATCTCAGATGTGGCTATCTCGGGCGTAGGCACGGGCACGGGCTCCTCTAACGCGGGTTCCAACGCGGGTTCTTCCACAGGCTCGAACACAGGCTCGAACACGGGTTCGGGCTCAAGCTCAGGTTCGGTCGCGGGAGAGGCATCTCTACCTAATAACGACCGCCAGTCGATGTTCAAAAGCACCCCTGCCATAGTCGGAAGTGTTGACTGTATATATTGATATAAGGTAATTATCCGGTTGATCGAATGCAGGAACCACCAATTTAGAGATGCTTATGTATGGAAGCCTTGTTTTTTTTCAGGGGTGATGTTTGTTGATAAAATTGCTTGGCGTTCCAATGACATACCATAAGCGTCATCGGCTCCGAGACCCAGCTAGTCTTCTGTGTATAAATCAAGCTTCTTCTACCTACTAATGTCTATCGTATTTCGTCAGCCTCTAACTACTAGAATAGGTATATATCTCACTAACCTTGTGATTAGCAGATTTATTTTTTAACGATAAGATTGATTCTCTTAGGTTTTAGGAGAAACAAGACCATCGCCTAAATTCGGTCCGTGCCAAGATATAGCACCGTCCAAAGTTATACAAGCACAAAGTACCTACAAATCAGGTGAAATGATACCCCTTATCGAAGTCTCGCTATCGTGGCTTTTTAAGAACGCAAAGGGCCACGATGCGAAAAGCTTCTTCAAGGGACCCGCCTTCTCCGACTTTCAGGAGAAGCAGGAGATCACCGTCACGGCGCCGGAATGCGGCCCCACTAACTCGGTGCTCGGCGTTGAATACACGCACGACGGAGCAGGCAAGTTCCCTGCTTTGCGGTGGGAAGCGCCCTCGCATATCGCAGACCAAGTGAAAGAGTGGTTACTAGTTTCGGAGGATCCAGATGCGCCTTTGCCAACGCCTATCTGCCACGGGTGAGTGTTTTGAGTAAACCTATACGATCTTGGCAGGGTCCTAGATACGGGCCTGAGACTAAATTGTAACAGTATCTACGGGGGTATCCCGTCTTCGAAGACAAGCGTTGAGCCTGCCGACTTCGAAGTTGAGGATCCGAGCAAGGCGCTTCTTAAAGGCGGGTTCCATTACGGACGGTCGAGAAACGGTAGCGTTTACATTGCGCCTCGGCCACTATTGAATCACGGACCGCATAGATGTAAGTGAGGTTTCTCATTCCGTTCATCTGAATACCTAACTAGACGTAACTGTAAGGCTAACTTGTCGTAGATTTCTTCGAGGTTATAGCATTAAAAGAACCGTTAGATCCTAGCTTGTTAACTGCGACAACGACAAGAGAGCAGATCAATAAGGCTATCATAGGGAATATTCTAGGATGGGGAATGTGGGTAGGAATCGCGGAAAGAAGATGGGGATAGACCGTAGAGAAGACATTTTCCCTCTTTCAGTTTAATTGATAATGCTATAAATTTTAAACTCGCTCATATAAGTCACCTTAAGATATATATGAGACTCGACTGCGTACTTTCAAATATGATGTATGTAGCTGACAAGATGTAAGAAGGAAAGAATAGGTAGAAGGTATAATATTGGAAGTATTCTCGTACCGTAGAAAGAGCGGGTGCCCATTAACCTAGGTGGGTACATCAAATCTATATGAGGTACCTACATGATGTAGGTAATGGCAAGGATCGGCACCGAATTGTTGCCGAAGCGTGGATTAGCGTGGATTAGCGTTAAATCCTAAGCCCTCTTATATCCGTTTTTCGGATTCTTTATGTACGAGCCTGTAGCCGGTCGGCTATCTATTCTTGTAAGTTACAAGTCGTAACCTAGTCTCATTGATTTTTCTCGTCCGACAGCGACGCCATTTTTAATACCTTTTCGGGCCCGGTAGATGTGACGTAGTGCTACCGGAGCCGTAAAACATCCGTGCCAATGTCGGAGACCATTGAAGAAACACTGTCGCTTCATACAATGTCCAGCCGAATAAAGCGAAACACGGCTTGCACCAGCTGCCGAGATGCTAAGGTATGTCCTAGCCCTTGCTTGACTTGAACTTTTAGGCATGTTAATATGTTAATCCTTCTCATAGGTCCGCTGCAACCCCAGCCAGAACCCTACCCAACCGTGCCAGCGCTGTGCCAAGCTTCACTTGACGTGTGTCGTAGATAAGACTCATAAAAGAGTGAGCCGAAAAAGGTAACTATCTTCTCCTTATTCCACATCGGCTTACTAAGTAGAACAATAGTAAGTTGGACGAGCTAGTCCAGGAAATCCAATCTATCAAGCAGAGTGTTAGTGGACAATCAACCTCGTTGCCGAGTCAGACAACAGGATTCTCTCCACAGAATGAAGTCCTCACGCCCCTTAAAGAGTCCGTTCCACCACGCTTAGGGGTTCCATCACCAATAAGCGTCTCTACAGACGTAGAAGGCAGGGCTCCTGCTATAATAGCTGCAACAACCAGCACTGCAGTTGCTCCCTCTTCAGTAATACATACTCCTACCAGTATACCACTCATCCAGGTCCCAGCCGCCGAGCCGGCACTTCCTAGAGCTCTTGGATCACAGCCATTTTCCGGTGAAGATGTTGAGTATTATTTTCAAAAGTGAGTACATTGCCATTGCCACCATAGACCGTAAGAAATAGTGTATCCCTGATACATGATACCTAGATATTTTGAACATTATCATCCCTATATGCCAGTCGTACGGCACAAGGACCCAAATAAATGCTACGATATTAGTCCGTTGCTTTTTTGGACCATCATCTACGTAGCGACACGCCGCTACGCTAAAACCTCAACCACCTTTCCCTTCATGCTAGATTCTATTAAGCGGGATGCCTATTCAGCCATTGCTAATCCGCCCCTCCCCTTACCTTCAATAAATGCCCTCATCTTGCTTTGTACCTGGATCTTCCCAGAGGTACGGTTCGTGAACGATCCGTGCGCACTATTTTCGAGCATTTGCATGAGCGCAACTGCTCAACTGGGAATTCATTGTGGGAAAGGGGCTCATCCGGAATTTAACCATGGCGTCTTCCAGAATAACTTCACGGACGAGGAGGCCTCGTTTACGTGGGCTGGGTATAATATAATCTCTCAAAGGGTGTCTTCGTTCTTAGGGCTCCCGCCTCTAGGCTGCCTATTCAATCAGACCATTCAAAATGTCATCGACGGCAGGATACCGTTTCAAGTTCCTTCCAACTTTCGTATCCTCCTCGAATGCCAGAAATTCTGTCATCATGTTAGTAAGACAATGGCGGCCAGCCTAGAAGACGCACGAGGGGTTTCGGCAAAACTGGTTCAGCTGCTCGAAGACGAGTGGAATGCCGTAAGAGGACTCATATGCTCTGAACGCGCAGGTATGTGTCTCATCTCCAACGAAGTCCCAAGAGTGCGCGTAAAACGTGACTATACTATTATATTCCATAAATTAAATATAGATAGGCGACCTCGATCGATTCAACGCGTTGCTAGTACAGCTAGAAATACAAACGTACTATATGATGCCCCTTCCGGGCTACAACCCGGACGCATTAAAACGCAACATACTGCGGACATATAATACAGCACAGGTTGTGATCCGCGAGTCCCTCGAGCTAGATAAAAAGGTGCAGTTCTTGCGGCATATACCACACTTCCATCTCCGGGCACTCGCGTCTGCGGGATGCATCGTGTACCGAGTTCTACGGTCGTCCTATATGTCTTTCATCGACCGCACAGCCGCCGAGCGGTCGGCAGCCGACACTATAACTGCGGCCAGGCGTGCTAGTATCATGGAATCTGACTTGCCCATGCGCCTCGGAAACCTCCTCGAGTCCTGGTCGGACTGGCTGCTAGCACACAGGGACTCTGCCGCCATTCAACCACAACCGCAACCGCAACCGCAACCACATTCACCATATTCACAACTACAGTGGAACGAGGAGCCCGTGTCGGCGTTCTCGCACCGCCTCAGTGCCAGCGTAACTTTCGACTGCATGACCCGCTGGAAAAGTGATCATCGCCATAACGCCCTCCGCTGCAAGTGCCAAACCTCTGGTGCCTCTGGTGCCTCTGGCGCTTCTGGCACTACTCCGGTACCCGGTATGGCTGGTGGTACGAACGGCTGCGAAACACCGGCTACTATGGCAGGAAGCGCCGATGCCCTGCAGAATATAGATTGGACATTCATGGACGACTTCGATTGGAGCTTTGAGCCTGTGATGCCGGTGCTGACGGCACCGACGTGAGGGCATGGAACAAGGAATAGGCTGCACGAAGAAGACAATGTAAAAACAAAGCAAGCAAGAAGGTGTAGCTGTTCATATTTTGGGACCGGCATACATGAGGTGTTATACAAGTGTATAGGGTGAGCATCTACCTGTTAAGTATGCAAATCTAAAAGAAGATTGAACACGGGCATTAAATCGAAGGCGAAGGGGATGCGCCAAGTGGGAATCTAGCATACATTAGGTACGCATCTAATATTATATCACGCCATTCATATAGGTTTCTCAGAACATATGAAGTCAATATATATTAATTGGTTTACAAGAAGTAGAGAAGAAGCAACTAGCAATAACAACACACTTATTCATCGTACCCTTAACTCCGTGATAGCTCTAGTGACTGTGTTCTCTAATCTATCACCACCATCACGATGCTTGGTTGCTGATGATAGGGGTCTATTGTTGTCTGATGTCTGGTGCGTTTCTACAAAATGTGTAGAGACAGACGACTTGCTCATTGGAGGAGCTCCTGGTGCGTCTTGCCCTGAATTCACAAAGGATTATTGTCAGATTGACCACATGACCAAAAGGCATCTTGTAACCATATAAATATAAATACAACCCTTACAGCCCACCTTACAAGCTTTTAATTCTCACCTTTTACCCCCAGCGAGACTTAAGACCCATCCCCTCTTCGCTCCGCCGCCCCTGATGTCTCACCGATATCCGCAGTCAAGCTGACCCCGCCCCAGTCCACGCTGACATTTTCGCTCGTGAGAAACCACGGCACGTTGTCGTCGCTATCGGACGGAAAACATGGGCCGACTACGTCCGCGGGGTTCTGGTGCTTGTAGGCGTCCATGTAGATGCCTGGGAGGTTCCAACGGTCGACTGTGGAGGGCGGACGGTTGCTGCTTTGTGGTGGCGTCGCGTGGGAAGTTACGTTCACGCGGGGTGAGCTCATGCGATGCGGTAAGTCTAGTCCCTGCCCTGGGTAAGCCACGCCGGGATGTGACGGCGTACCGGCGGACATGGGGTCTTCGGGGGAGGGGTGTGTTGAAGGATTGGTTGATACGCGGTCTGGGATATTTGCAGCCCAGGGTGAATCGTGATTTTCGGAATGGCTATCTATAGTGCTGGCACCGCACGATTGAGTAGTCCGTTTCCGTTTACTATGTCTTACGTAGTCAGAAGACCGAGCTTTGAACGAAGACAATTCGTTGTCGTCCGTGGTCCAAGTCCCGTGCTCGCAGTCCATAGACTCCTCGACAACAACTTTTCCCATAGGCTTCCCGAGCGGCAGACGGCCTGGCAGTGGTGGCTGAACTTCAGAGTGACGTGATATCATGGACCGAGCGAGCAAAGGTATATTATGCGAGATTTGAGTCCTATAATCCGGCCCAAGGTTATCGAGACGAGACAGTCGCACAATGTTTCCAACTCCATTCCTCTCTATATCAATTACTACTTGGCGAAGGAAAGCCCGGGTGATGGAGTGATTCTTTCCAAAAGCCTGCATAGCTGCGATGATAAAGTCGAGGTTTTCAATATTAGTGGGCGTCTGTGTTTCTTTGCACAAGTAGACATAGACGGAAGCTGCACAATATAGCGACAACGCAGCTAGTGGACTCTTCTATCGTGGTATTAGCAATGGTTAGACACGTCGATTCGATTTGATGCGTTATTTACCGGTCCTGAATTCACATGGCTAGTCAACTTCATAATGTTGACAATTTCCTGCGCAGCTGTGCTCAGGCGATCGTGGCAGATTTTCTTAGCACTCTCTGGTAATTTATAAGTCTCTATCGTCTCGATTGCGGCGTGATGCAAGCAGATAATTGATGCGTGCAAGTTAAGATTTGTGTGTACAGCGACCGGGTCACGATAGTTATCTGGTAGTCGGAAAGACCCTGGGAGATACATAAACGCGCCTGAGAGTATGTTGTCCAGCTCACGATGGCGCCGCCAATATTCGCCATACTCATAGTTATCAGGATTATCTGTAGGCTTCGGTCTGTGGACGTGCTTGAGGATTTGATTGAATCTTATTCTTATTATTAGCAGACCGTAGATACTCGAGGTGGTGTGGCTCTGACATGTGACAAACTAAGATGGCTCCTGCAAAGGAAGAATACGTCTGCCCCTTAAGGGCATTTTGAATATTACATGTTTCTACTTTCTCGCCGCTTAAAAAAGCAGATTCCGGCTATAAAGCCTCCAGTTAGTAGAATATAATATGAATAGAGAGAACAGCGGTGAGGGGTTTTCAAGTTTTAGGAACGGCGTCAGGTAGCGTAAGCTTTTGAGAAATTCTACTATACGCGGGACTCTACGAGGATGGCGTGT